GTCATGTGCTATAGTTACTCTATTATGTAATGGAACACCAAAATTTATTCTAACTATAATTTTGTACTCACAGTCAAAATAATTTTGAAAAGAAATCAAAGTTGAAAGCCTCACACTACCTAATGCTGAGTTACTAGAGTCCTGCAAAAAACAAAACTACATGATATTGATGAAAGAATGGGCAATAAATAAGTAGTGATTGAAGGAATAAATAAATCTAAGGCTCCACTAATAAACCACTTGCCCGAAATTCCAGGAAAGACGTAAACACTAAAGTCAGTGATGATTGTAGTGCAAAAAACCACAAATTTTTACAAAAATAAATGAAATGTTTATGGAAAAAAAGTGTAATTTCCACCAACTAAGAAGTATTTATGGATCAGCCATGCAAAATCTAATAATTTACATTTTGAATATAATTAGAATAAAATCTTCTGTCTCCAGGAAACATAATGGGAGCATTAATATCTTCTCAAAAACGAACAGGTTTGTTGAAGTAAAAACAGATAATATCCAATCCTTATATGAATGTAGAGATGTTAAAATGGGATATCCCCTGCGAAGAAGTATTAATCTTAAAATATTATTTCAAAGGCTGATTCTAGGATGATGCTCTAGTAGCAAGAGGAATAGCATCTTCAGTAGCAAAATGGTTGGTAGATATAGCAGCCACAGTCAGAACCAGACCCATATCCATATCTGGAACCATATCCGCAGCCCCCATGGGCGTTCCCATAGTAGTTGAAACTCATAGTGCCAGAAGGTAAGATTTAGTCGAGGTACAGATGGATTTTTCTGAAGTGTCAATGTAACATATGACCCTAGAACCTTTACATCCTGACAGGAGGAGCCAGGACACATCATCGATTTCATGATTCGTGCAAAATAGGTTTAATACCTAGTATGTGCAAATCACCCCACTCAGTTGAAAATGAGAGGACCTGGTCTTTTCATAGCTATAGCATATGCCTTAAATAAACATATTATTATAGGTTTTCCAGTTTTATTGAGGATCCATGATTTTTGTCATGCAGGCATTGTCTTGAGCCAATTACAAATCTCTAAGAACAGTTTCTATCCATTAGCCAGTCATCTGAACACATGATTCCAAAGATACATTTTACGCAGGAAGGCTCTAGGAAGGGTTAGGCTGTTGATGTTTGAAAATGCAATCAATAAAATGAGTTTGACCCATTACTTTGACTAGCTTGCTAATTACTAATTCCTTCGTAGGTGATTTCATTGGAACCCAATGCTGCTGTACACAGAAACTCCTCAATATTTCATGTTACAGAGTTTCTATGAATTCAAATAGCCATGGATATAATATTCTGATAATATGTATTTACTTCTGGAGAAATTCCTTAACAAATATTAATCACCTCTAGATATTTATTTAGTTCAAACTAGAACAACAACAAATGAGTATCCTTTATGATAACAGCTGTTGAATTTTAAATTCCTTTTAATCTTTTTATTTTAATCAAAATTAAAACATGAAAGAGGTAGGTAGCATACTATAGATACTGAGGTGGAAAAAAGTTTAGGAAACTTACTAAAGGCACATATGAAGCACAAGTATGTATTCTTCTTTGCTGTGCTGCATACAATCAGTACATTGTTATTTGCTATTGTCACTCTATTGTGTAATAGAGCACCAATATTTATTTTGAAACAAATACATACAGAGATATATCAATGCCATATTTGTGGATTGAACTCAATATTGTTAAGATGTTCATTCTCCCAGAATGGATCTATGGATTCAACTCTATCCCCATCAAAATCTAAGCATGATATATATGTAGATATTAACAAACTGACTTGAATGTTTAGATGGAAAGGCAAAATAACTAGAAGAGCCAACATATTTTATTTAATTTGGAATTTGTAATTGACACATAATAATTGTACACATTTATGGTGTAAAATGTGATGTTTCAATGCACATATATATAATATAATGACCTCCTTTCCTCATCATCGGGTGCTTAAATACTTACTGTAACAGGGATGTCATTATTTCGTGTGGTTATCCATTTCACTGTGTAATTACTCTGTTATAAAATTCCCCATATGCTTTAGGGTCTCTCATTTTTTTCATTGTCAATTGGGGTCCTAGATAAAATTTATTTAAATGTTTTGTACCCAGGGCACTCCCACCAAATATGGCTGCTAGTGCCTCTCACCTGTTCATTTTCACTCGAGAATAGTGTGTCCTTGAAGTTCATTGGAATGGCTGGCTTCCTAATCTCTGCTGATGTGCAGGTATGTTATCCTGGTTATCCAAGACAACCACACCTCTTACCGGGTAATTTAGAGAACAGAAGAAGAAGTGTGTGGTAATCATTTTCAATTACGCATAACAAATTATCACCAAAATAGCAGCTTAAAACAACATCCACTATTTATCTCAGTTTTCGTAGATCAGAAGTCTAAGCACAACCTAGCCAGGATCTTGCCTCAAGGTCTCACATCATTGTAATTAAGGTGTCAGCCAGGACATCTGCAAAATCTCTTTGCCATGTAACTTGAATTGCCAGATTTCGTAAGTATGCCCCAAATATTGCATAAAACATACTTATACTAAAAAGACATACATTTTTAATCTGAAATTTACATTGATTTATTTTGTGTTTTATCTGCTAACCCTAAACATAATGTAATCACAGAAGAGATATCCCATCATCTTTAGTAAGATTAGAGACAAGTTATAGGTCCTTCCCACACTCAATGAGAGTAAACCACACAAGCGTACGGTTATTGGGGGCCATCTGAGAACAGCAACAATTCACACCTGCAATTTTTTTTCTTTTTGGCTCAACTGTGATTACGTTTCTCCCAGGAGAGATAATGGCTGTAGCAATAACATTCCAATATGTGAACTTTTTAATTTATATAAACTTAAAGGGCACAAGTGCAATTTTGTTTCACAGATATATTGCATAGTAGTAAAGTCTGGGTTTTTATTGTATTCATCACTCAAATAATGTACATTTTACCCACTAAATATTTATTTTTTTCTTCCCTGCCTAGAAGGATATTTCTTTCTTCTATGATTGATCAACTTCTATTCATCCTTCATATTTCAGCTAGAAATTTGTCTCTTTTTCAGAAAATTCCCTCATCCTTCTTTCTACTTTTTCTTAGTCCTGGTTCTTCTTCTGATTTATTCCCCTGTACTTCTCAAATACTTCTGTGTGTAACTGTTTTATAGCAATACTCCAATCTTTGTAGCCTGTGGTCTTGTATGCCTTTCCTATGCTTTTGGAAAGCAAGGATGAAATATTTTACTTCACTGTTCATAGTACATAATGAAATGTGTTTTATTAGGAGCTCAATAAATATTTGATAAATGAGACTTCACGGTTATCTAATTTAGAAGTGATTCTACACCTTCAAGAAAACAATCTCTTCATCCATGCCCTTTTGCCCTACCTCTTCTCAAGACTTCAATTTTTTTTCAAGAATCAAGGGTGTCTGGGAAAAGAATTTATTTGACCATGGGTGGCTGAATCTTGACTTCAGTTCTGACTGCCTTTTTATATCCCAAATGAGTATTAGATTTCTGCAGCCAGACATATTACAATTGGCCCCTCCTTCCAGATATAGAAACATAAAAGTTCTCATTCTGTATTTTTTTTTATATCAGCATCACCATTTTCACAATCAAGTTTCAAAGCACAAATCACTTTCTTTAGTATCCTAGATTAGGATGGAGGTAAAAATGGATACATAAGATCAGTTAATTCCATACCTCTTTCTGACTTTGTAACTTCCTCCTAGAATAACTCTTAACAGTAAGAGAGAGAGCCAACCGAGGTTTAAATACGTCCAAAAACAGAGCGCCTAATGAGGAAGTAATTCTTGTTTCATATTAAAAAGAGATCTTGTCACATATTAAAAAGAGATCTTGTGTTGAGGAATTTATGTCATTGTTACACATTCAATCTAATTAGTTTCTCAACAACAACACAGGGCACATCTGCAAAACTAGTCTTACTAATTTTGCAATACCAGTCCTGAATATAACTATATATACGACCCCAAATTCCCCACAATTCTAAGTGCTAAGGAAAAAATATATACTTTGTAGATATTATCTTCCCCAGATGTTTCCCCTTTTTCTTTCTCTGTTGAAGTCTAAGATTTTACAGGTTCTACCTTCACCAAGTCTCTGATGTTCATCTGTTTTTTTTCATTATCTACACTGAAGTGCAGATCTCTTTAACCAGTATCCAAATCGTTATTATACTTACATTTTAACCTTTCTGCCTCTTCCATTCCAACCCATTTTTGTGCCATTAGCATTTTCCTAAAGCAGGCTTTTCTGTAGCATTCTGTGTGTGTGTGTGTGTGCGTGTGCGCGGGCACGCACATATATTGATGAGTGCGTTATTGCTCATTAATGTGGAAAAAATGGATAGACCCAGAATCATGAAATACAAATACTTAAGAACAAACCCTTAATGAAAATGAATTAAGAACAGAAGACTCAGCCAAAAAGCAGCCATTTTTTTCAGGGACTATATTTAAAATACGTGACATCTAGTATGTCACAGGCATGGACCAAGCAGAATGGAAAGCACAATTAGAAAGAGCAGCTTAGCATCAGCCCACTGAATCTTTGAAGACATCATAGAAATAAATATAAGATAAAAGTGTAAGTCAATAGCATGCCTGAAACAAAAAAAAATAGAAAAACTTGTTAGGACCAATGAAACATGTTTATTTGGAAATAGTTACAATATAGAAACATAAAATAAGAAGGTAGTAGGTTTACATTTGGACCATGGCCAGAGTTAGGTCTTCTGTCTTCCAGAAACATCATGGGGTAACTCAGGCCCCCACAATAGTAAGCAGGATTTCATAAGATGATCTGTTTTGTGCAGGTTCTGACTGCTCTCTATTCCGTAGAATCTGATGGAATTGTAGGACATTGAAACAGAAATGGCCTTGAAATGGTCCTTTTAGAAGAAAAGGTCCACAGCAGTTATTTTCTAGCAGCAAGAATAACATCTTCTATAGCAAAATGGCCGGTAGCCACAGCAACTAGAGCTAGAGCCGTAGCCAGAGCCGTATCCACAACCATAGTTGGAGCCATATCCACAGCCATAGCCAGAGCCATAACCACAGCCGTAGCCAGAGCCATAACCACAGCCATAGCCAGAGCCATAGCCACAGCCGTAGCCAGAGCCATAGCCACAGCCGTAGCCAGAGCCATAGCCACAGCTACCACATGAGTTTCTGTAGTAGTTGCAACACATGGTGTCTAGAGATGGGTGTTTAGTAGTTCAGTAGAGAAGCAGGTGGGCGATTCTGAAGTCTGAATGTCATCTTCTGCCCTGAGACCTTTATATACAACCAGAAGTGGGTGGAGCACACAACACAGACTCTGTGGCCTCATTACAACAGCAATTTACATCTTTAAAAAGTTCATCATTCTAAGGACAATGAGTGTTTCAGGTAATTATGACCAGGATTTGCCCCTAGCCAGCCATGAGAATTGTAAAGAAACAGCTGTAACCCGCACATGGAATAAGCATGCCTTGTGGAGTGTAATCAAACCTAATTTAGATTTTTTTACTCCAGGGGCTATTATCTCTTCTGTACTTCCAGGTACACACATACCTGTGCACTGGGAGATATCCCAGCATTTTCCATCTCAGTAATCAACAAGAAATTCCCAGACTAGAGTTGAGAAGCAAACAGCAAAGGCACAAAATGAGGCATTCTTAGGTTACACTTGCAAGAAAGTAGATGGAGCCCATGCAGGATGGCCACTGCAGTGGTGGCTAGAGCAAGAGACAGGTGAGGCAAAGATCTGAAGTGATGTAAAACAGAGGTCTGATACAATATAGTAAAATAAAAGCAACAGGATTTTGCCCAATGCACCATAATCTACCCTAAGATTTCTTGAACTTTTCAGTGTGTTACTTTCTTTGAAACATCTTGCCTACTTCATCAAATTTTTTTTAACTTTTATTTTAGGTTCAGGGGTACATGTGCAGGTTTGTTATATATGTAAACTCGTATCTCAGGAGTTTGTTGTACAGATTATTTCATCACCCAGGTACTAAGCCTAGTATTCAAAAGTTATTTTTTCTCATTCTCTCCCTCCTCCCACCCTCCCCCTTCAAGTAGGCCCCTGTGTGTTGTTCCCCTCTTTGTGCCCATGTGTTCTCATCATTTAGCTCCCACTTATAAGTGAGAACTTCCAGTATTTGGTTTTCTGTTCTTTCATTAGTTTACTGCTAAGAATGATAGCCTCAGCTCCATCCATGTTTCTGCAAAGGACATGATTTTGTTCTTTTTTGTGGCTGCATAGTATTCCATGGTGTATATGTACCATGTTTTCTTTGTCCAGCCTACCATTGATGGAAATTTCAGTTGATTCCGTGTCTTTGCTACTGACTTCCAATTTTTACCTGCCAAAATCCTGTTGATCCTTCAAAGCACAGCTTAGGCTACATCTCCTATGAAAGCATTCCTGGGCATTCACAATAAGTGTTAAGCATCACTCCACCATTCTTCTAGGGATCTATTTGCTCAATTCTATTATGGTCCTCAATATGTTATACTGGCATACTCTTATTTTATTTATCTGATTCCCTCAGATGATTGTGAGTTATTTATGGTCAATAACTTTGTCTTTATTTTCTGTGAATCTAACAAACTAGGGACACTCACTAACTTAAATGAAAGCCTATGAGATTTCTTCCAGCGGTAAATGTTTTTATTTTAAATTAGAGGATGTTATATGAGAAAGATAACAATAATAAGTATTATTATTTATATTTCCCTTTGTAGTTTTCTCTACATCCTCACCAATGTCTGTTATGTTTTGTCATTTCAATAACAGCCATTCTCAGTGGTATAAGATGATGTCTCTGGGGTTTTAATTTGCATTTCTGTGATGGTTAGCAATGTTGAGCATGTCTATTTGCCGATGATATGATCTTAAATAAAGAAAAACCTAACAACTTTACCAAAAAATGTTACCGAATTCATTTATCAAAACTTATTGTATACACAACATTATATGTAGAGTATTGTATATGTGTATAATATATATACAAGAATATAGTAACCAAAGCAGTATGGTAGTGGTATAAATATAGATATATAGGTCATTGAAAAAGAAGAGAGAACCTGGAAATAAAGCCATATATTTATAGCCAGCTGTTCTTTGACTAAGTCAACGAGAAAATACATTGGGGAAAGGACACCCTCTTCAATAAACGATGCTGGGAAAATTGGATTGCTATATGCAGACGAATGAAATTGGACCCCATCTCTCACCATACACAAAAATCAACTCAAGATGTAATAAAGACTGCAATGTAAGACCTGAAACAATAAAAATACTGGAAGAAAACCTAGGGAAAACTCTTCTGAACATTGGTCAAGGCAAATAATCCATGACTAATACTTCAAAAGTATGCAACAAAAACAAAAATAGATGAATGGGACTTAATTAAACTAAAAAGCTTCTGCACAGCAAAAGAAATAATTAACAAAGTGAACAGACAACCTGAAGAATGGGAGAAAATATTTGCAAACTATGCATCTGACAGGGGCTAATATTCAGAATGTACAAGAAACTCAAACACTTTAACAACAACCACCAAAAAAAAAAAAACACAAATAATTTCATGAAAAAAGTGGACAAAGAACATGAATAGACATTTTCCAAAGTAGACATCCTGTTATAATTTTTGAGTCACATTTACATTTATTACTTTGTTTGATTCTTCTGAAAACAACGTAAAGTAAGAAGTTGTGTTTTTGTTATTTTCCAGCTTTATTGAGGCATAATGGACAAAGACAATCATATAAGCTAAAGTTATACGACATGATGATTTGATATACATAAATACTGAGAAATGATTGATACAATCAAGTAAGTTAACACAATAATCACATAAATAGCATTTTTATTTTGTTTTGTGGTGAGAACAATTAAGATCTACCCTTTCTGCAAATTTCAAGTATACAATGCAGTATTGCTAACTATAGTTAGTTACCATGAGGTAAATTGTATCTCCAGAACTTATTCTTCTTGTAACTGAAGATTTGTACTCTTAAACTAACATCTTCCCATTTCTTCCACCTCCTCGACCCCTTGGCAACCACTATTCCACTCTGTTTTTGAGTTCTACTTTTTTAGATTCCACATATTAGTAAGATTACTCAGCATTTGTCTTTCTCTGGCTGACTTGTCACTTAGCATAATGTCTTCCATGTTTATCTATGCTGTTGCAAATGGCAGGATTTCTTTCCTTTTTATAATATTCCATTACAAATATACACCACAATTTATTTTTTCCTTCACCCGTTAGTGAACAGTTAGGTTGTTTCCGTGTCTTGGCTATTGTAAATAGTGCTGCAACAAACATGGGAATGCATATATCTCTTTGAGCTACTGATTTTGTATCCTTCACATATCAACCGAGAAGTAGGGCTAAATCATGTGGTAGTTCTAATTTTCATTTTTTGAGGAACCTCCATATTGTTTTCCATAATGGCCATGTGAATTTATATTCCCATCAAAAACAGTGCACAAATGTTTTTTATGGCACTTCCTCTCCAACGCTTGTTATCTCTTATCTCTTTTATAATACCCATCACACCAGGTATGAGGTGATAGCTCACTGTGATTTTGATTTGCATTTCTCTGATGATTATTGATGTAAAGTAACTTCCATGTACCTATGGTTTTTGTTTTTACACACATCACAGATGTGAAAACAGAAGCCACAGGTAGTTGTCACTTGCCCAAGGACTCTCAGCTGTTTAGTGGTAGAATCAAATCGATTTAACCCCTGCAAGAATATTAAAGCTCAGGAAGGACCCATAAATTATTTTTTCCTTTAGGTTTTCAAATGGAAAATATGCACTTCATTTGACTAAAATTGCCAATATTTTGCAACTTTTGTCTTACACCTCTACCATCTGGATTTTCTTTCTTTGTGGTCTTTACAATCCTAGCCAAAATTCCTAAAACTCTATACCAGCTTCTAGTACTTTCATAATTTAACTTTCATGTGCAGAACTTTAATCAATGTGGAATTTCTTATGCATATAGTGTGAGGTAGGTATTTATATCTTTGTATCTAAACAGGTGGGACATTGATCAATCTCATTGCTGTGGTTTCAGTGTTTGCCCCCTTCAAAACTCATGTTGCAACTTAATTGCCATTGGGAAGGTATTGGGAGGTAAGACCATTATGAGGTGTTTAGATCTTGAAGGCTCCACCCTCATAAATGGACTAAAACCATTATCACAGGAGCAAGTATGTTATTGCGGGAATGGGTTCACCCCATCTTGCTCTCTCTCTCTTGCCCTCTCTTGGTCTTTCACCATGTGATGCCTTCTGCCATGTTTTGATGCAGCAGGAAGACCCTCACCACTTTGATACTGGATTTTCCAGCCACCAGAACTATGAGCTAATAAGTTTCTGTTTATTATAAATTACCCAGTCTCGGGTATTCTGTTGTAGCAGCACAAAACAAACTAAGGCACAGATTTACTGAATAAACTATCCCAGATGGAAAATTTGTGTATACAGGGACTTTGCTCCTCCCTGAAGTCTGCAGCACTGGCAACACTGGTCCTATTGCCTCAGGCTGACCTACTGCTTATACCTGGATAATCTGGTTAGACTTCCTAATCTTTGATAGTGGCCTAACGTGACTTCTCTTTCTAGCCAGTGTCCTTACCTGGCCAGTTTGTTATGATTGGCCCTCTAAGACAACACTCTATAATAGAAATATACCATGAATCATATTGAGAAATTTAGATTTTCCAATGTCCACATTTTAAAAAGATAAAAAGAAACAGATGAATTAATTTTATACCATATTATATTCACCCTAATGTCTCAAAATATTATCATTTAATATATAATAAATAATTTAAATGTATTTGATACTTTCATTCTTTTTTCTATTAAGTCTTTGATAACTACTGTGTATTTTACACTTACAGTGCATTTCATTTTGAACTATCCATATTTTGAGCGCTCAACAGCTGGCTAGTAGCACCATATCAGACAGTGCAGCTCACTCAAGAGACGTGATAATTCTTTTATGGAAGTGGACACTGATTAAAATTTCACAGTGGAGCCTCCTACTCTTTCAATAAACTGACAGCTTATTTTCTTCTTTCCTTGAATTTGTTGGCCTTGAATTCCATTTTCCGTCTCTTGTAACTGACCAAATCTACCTCATCCTTTATGGTTCTCTTCCTATCATTCTTTGGAAACAATTTCTGACCCTTGTCGAGCCTTCTCTTTCCACATTCAGATTTAAGTTTCCCCCTTGAGCTCTTCTTGGTAACGCCATCATACCTGCAAGCATACCTGCTATGTATGATTTAGTATTTTGTGTCCCGCTGAAGATTTTGAATTCTTAGAAGGGACTATGTGTTTTATCTCTCTGTCTCCACACCAATCACATCACATAGCTGAAACATGAATCTTAATGTTTGTTAAATAACTAAAAGAACAAATTTTACAATTTAGATTTTACAATTTACATCCTCTACAATATGTAATAACATATTCCAAAAAAAGGACTTTTGTGTTTCTTTATGAAGGAGCTTTGAAGCTTAAATCATTTTCCGACCACAGAAAGTATTGTGAAATATAAATAGTTTTTCCTTCCCTCCATAATGTGATTACACATGTGAATTCACATATCCATTTTTCCCAACCTCCACCAAACAGGCCACACCTACACAAGTGTGCACACACACACACACACACACGAACCTTCTCTAATTTTATCATTTCTGTCTCTGTTACCATTATCACCATTTTCTCATTTCACACAAGCTGAATGTCTCAAAATTTTCTTAAACTGAGATAGCCACAATATTTCAGGTTTTGAAGATATGTTAAGTGTTATCCACTGCTTGCAATACTATAATAACCTCAGAGTTCCAGAAAGCACAGTTTGTCTGCAGATCTGACTCACAAATACTCCAGATGTGAAAGGTATCCTGCTCTTGGAAGAAACCCCGATTGTCCATCAGTTGGACAGATTCCATCCTGGATGTAGCCTTCCTCCTGGGCTGATATTGATTGTAGGGCTATCTTTCTTAGAGTCAGACATTTTGTGGGGTCACCCAGCTCCAGGGACCTCAGAGAGCCAGACTTGGTGTAACGGTCCCTGGTGTGTGGATGAAACAGGGATACCATTATTACTGCTGACTGTAAGAAGTTTCTACTGAATCCAGAAGACTCTCTGTTGTAAGATTTAAATGATAGAGTTTGGATGGTCTAGAACTGGAGGAAAGGACACTAAAATCAGAATCCAAGAAGCAGTAAACACTCCACATCAGAAAGTCAGCCAGGAAACTAGAATAAACCCTTTAATCTCATTTTTATGACCATCCCAATCTAAAAAGAACTCCATTAAGATACTAGACCTTGCTCTTTTCTAACTGAAAACTGTGTCATCACCTTCATCATCTCCAAAACTTAATGAACTGCTCTCCCTCTTGGTACTTACTACTGTCCTTTTTAGTCTTTCTTTGCTGCTGAAAATGTTGTATTATGAGCTCAAATGTCACAATCTCAAAATACTTCCCTGAGCTGTCTCTCCAGTACTTCAAACATTCATCTCCTCTCCATTAAGCTGCTTTATTCCCTCTATAGCAATTATCGGTCTGAATTTATCATAATTGGTTTTTGGTTTTTGCTTTTTTTATTATTCTTTTTTTTTTTTTTTTTTTTTACAGAGTTTTCTCTTGTTGCCCAGGCTGGAGTGCAATGATGTGATCTTGGCTCACTGCAACTTCCGTCTCCCAGGTTCAAGTGGTTCTCGTGCCTCAGCCTCCCAAGTAGCTGGGATTACAGGCGCCCATCACCACGCCTGGCTAATTTTTGTGTTCTTAGTAGAGACGGGGTTTCGCCATCTTGGCCAGGCTGGTCTCGAACTCCTGACCTCAAGTGATCTGCCCACCTCAGCCTCCCAAGGTGCAGGGATTAACAGGCGTGAGACACTGCGCCCAGCTTATTTTTGTTTTAAACCTTCATCTGTTAGACTATAAACACTCTGAGAGCAGGACATTTGCTTATAATAATTTTTCTTCTGTGTCTTCAGTGTCTAGGATGGTGTCTATGCAAAACTATTTGTTAAGTGAATTAAATCACATTTCTCAACCTCCATGTAAGCAAACAAATATATCTGTGCTTTTGTCAGATGTAGATAAATTTGATAGTATACTTTTTTTTCTAACTTACCCTTTTTTAGGTTTTTATTCCTCATGCCTAACACTTGAGCCTGACTCAAAATTTTCAACAATCCTGGAAGTGATCTCTTCTATTGCATTACTTTTTTTTTCTTTTTTTTTTTTTTTCTTTTTTGAGATGGAGTCTCACTGTGTTACCCAAGCTGGAGTGCAGTGGCGCAATCTCAGCTTACTGCAACCTCTGCCTGCTGAGGGTTCAAGGAATTTTCCCATCTCCACCTCCTGAGTAGCTGGAATTACAGGCATGTGTCACCAAGCCCCGCTAATAATTTGTATTTTTAGTAGTGACAGGGTTTCACGATGTTGGCCAGGCTGGTCTCGAACTCCTGACCTCAGGTGATCCACCCACCTCGGCCTCCCAAAGTGATGAGATTACATTACTTCTTTAAGCACTCAGGCCATATCTCCTCCCTGAGACTTTTGTCATAACATCCTGAATTGGTGTCAATTCCCCTCCCTTTCCCCCTCCAGCTCCATTCTAGACACTCAGTGCCATTTCCAAAGCACAGTTCTGAAATAATCTGTGATTTGTGCTTGGGCATGTGAGAGCCTGAGCATGTGGGATATGAGAAGCAGGTAGAGAAGACATTATTTATGATGCAAGTATAAGAGGAAATAATTGCAGTATATCAAGGAAATACCTAAGGTTCAGCCAACATACTGTTAGCCCAATTTTCAAGAGATACTAAAACAACTCAAGAAAGGAGTAATTCATAAGCAAGTACACAAAGATTTTTAGAAATAAAGAACCATTTTTATTGCAAAAGATTGACTTCCCCAACTGTGGATGTTATGATCATTAACAGTCATTCTCTGCAGTCATAACAGAGAATCAGAGATTAAGGGAGCAAAAGATAACATTTGGAAAACAGTCAGATGACACCATGGATCCTATGGCCGTGATTTCATTCAAAGAAATGTGAGGCTAGAGGTCCAAAACTCTGTCAAGCATGTAATTCTTGGATATAGAAATCTTGGAGTATGAATCCTTGAATCAGCATTATCTTTAGACGTGTCATTTTAGAAGCAAATGGTCGTCTGACAGTGATGTTTTAGCAGGAAGAATAGCATCTTCTAAAGCAAAATGGCTGGTAGCCACAGTAGCCAGAGCCAGAGCTGTATCCACAGCCATAGCCAGTTCCATAACCACAGCCATAACGGGAGCCAAACCGACAGCCATACCCACAGCCATAGCCAGTTCCATAGCCACAGTCATAGCCGGAGCCATAGCCGCACCCATAACCAGAGCCATAGCCACAGCCATGGCCGGAGCCATAGCCACAGGAGTTGCCATAGTAGTTGTAACACATGTTGTCAAGAGGAGAGGATTGAGATGGGTTTCAAGAAGATGCTTCTGAGGTGTGGATGTCTTCTGCTTCCCTGAGACCTTTATATACTGTCAGTAATTGCCAAAGCATACCATTCACTCCCTGACTTAGCCAACAAATATTTGAACAGCTATTATGTGCCAGTCACTGTTGACCATCAATTTATATTCCACATAAATTATAAGCATAATATTTTGCTTAAAATGAGCCAATTATTTTGGAGACTCTAGTTTCATTTCAGGAGCATCGTTTTAATCTGCTCTGCCAAAGAACTGTCTCGATGAAATCATGTGCCCAAATATAAAGCTAATACTGATTTTCAAAATCTCCTATCAGTAAATACATATCTTACATAACAAGTTTTGGGGGATCATAACAAAATTTTATCCATTTTTTCTCTCTCTCTTTTTTCCTAAAATGTCTACCTCTACCCATAGGGAAGGAGACACCTCTATTCTCTTTCCTGAATCATTACAACTTCTTGCCAGGCTTCTTTCCCCAACTCACTCTGCACTTCCACATCTACTCCTTGTCCGACCTCCCTCAAATCCCAAGAAACATATTCACATCTGATCATTCAAAGCCAGACAGTATGCTACCCGCAGGTGCTTTTTACATTTTCCTTCCATACACCAGGCAAACCAAGACCTTCGGGAGGCAGAGAAGCACTCCTTTTCTCCCATTTCTTAAGCTATGTAAGTAACTGTCATCGAGGAGCCTTTTAAACCCTAACCAGCTTCATTTGGATAAGGAATTTAAAAAAAATCGTTCAACCAGAAACTCCAGTTCTTTCCTCCAATACAGATTTCATCCAAGTTTTGCATGATGAAATACGGGTACATTCCTAGAATTTAATAAACGATTTTTTTCTCCTTTCACTACTATTCCTTGAACATTTACTTCAGAAGCTAAAGGAGAGTGGACAATTTTAGGTTGCTGACAGCAAAAACCCACCTTTAACAACTAACACTTCTATGATATAAAGTAGCACAAAAATAGTGTCCCCTTTCCATACATGCATTTCATGCTACTCATTCAAAATTCTCAATTACCCACTTATTACGAGTTCTTAATCTTCCACAAAAATGTTCATTGTGATTTTGAAATACAAGGTGCCCTCTTTCTTCCCAATAATCCTCTCTATCACACTTACCTTTTCAAGATATGAAAGAGGAAAATGAGTATCATTTTTTTTCTGCCATTAGTATTTTTCTTGTCACCCTCAATTATCAACCAAAAACCTTCTGTTTATACATCAAAACTCAGATCTGGAATCACTTTCTTCAGGATGCCTTTCCTCATTGCTACTGCGGATTACATTTTCCCTTCAGTTGGCAATCTTTCCCTTTTTTTCTGCTGTCAGTCACTCGTCTCATCTGATCACTCTGCTATGTTTCGTCCCGAAGAAAAGTGAAAAGAAAATAGATCTCTGTCTCAATTTTTTCTTTTCCTTGAGTTTCTTTCTGTTTTTTTCATCCTGGAAACTCAAAACTATAAATTCTACTTCACAAGTAGATTCTCTTGTTTGCTCCTATATGCAGACCAACACATATGAAATTCTTTAAAATTCCATGAATCTTTCCACATAGCAAACTCTTCCCTACCTTCTCCCTAGACAAGTATGGAATGGTGATATTTACTTGCACAAATTTAATTGGATATTTCACTACATAGTCACTAAACCGATCAATTCAATTTATCCATCATGGAATGAGAGCACGCCATATGTAAGGTACAATCAGAGCCAATCATACTGGTTTGCAATCCGTGCAGTTTATAAGGCCGGTGCTCAGACAAGGTTTCTGTGCTTGGAGTTTAATGCTCTACAGCCCCCAGCTTTAAGTTCTTAATACTTTGTTGAAACTTTATCTTGTTTACTAATAAAAGCGTGATATTCTTGAGGAAAGAGACTATACCTTTCACATAGAAATTCCAGGCAAACCTGAGACCCAATCCACATTTTACATAAGAGGAACTTAAAAGTCAATAGGAGTCAAAGACTAGATCCAAATTGAAGCCACTGTAGCTTCAATTTGGGTCTAGTCTAGGTATGACTGTAGCAAACGATATTGATGCCACAAAGAATATTTTTTCTACTGAGGCTGAAAACATGGTCAGAATTCAGGAACTGGTGTTCAGCCATAAAATTTCTATGACATTTCAAAATTGTCTAAAGTGTACGGCATCTTTATTTTCTCTAATATTTAAAAAAATTTTGTCTTTATAGTCCTAGTAGGACCATGGTGATTCTGCAACCCGAGGATACCTGTAATTAGTGCTTGGACCTATTACTTATGTATCTGCTATATAGGTGTGTGTGTACGTGTATTCGTGTATAAAACTATATATATGTTACCATCCATTACCTCAACTGTAAATTTACATGAGCAAGCAACTTATCTCTCCACTTGCAGGATACAGAATATGCATCTAGTGTACTAAAAGTACTTAGAAAAGCAAAGGATTCAAGGGAAAAAATATTTTTCAATAAACTTCAACTTTTCATTCCTATCAGTAAAGGACTGAAACATTTATCCATCCATAATACAGATTAAGACTAGAATTCCGTGTTATTTATCACGGTTCTTCAGACATTTATAATGACTGATGGTCCTTGTAATAATCCAGGTGAGTTAGATTAGTGGGAAGTGATCTCACAGACACCTGCTCCTAGTTGTTGGTATTATAGGAAAGATGCAGAACTCAGCAGAAACGAGATGCTATGCAGAACTGAGCAGCTTGCCTTGACCTGAGATCTCACTTTCTCCTTGGTTCTTCCATGGGGTACACAGCTGTCAATAACATTCTCTGTGCAGTATGGTCCTGTTGGAATCAAGTTAATATGCAAACTCCTGCTTTTCACTTCCTTTTGCACTCCTGTTCATATGACCATACTGGAAGAACTTACACTGAAACACTATGAACTTCATTTAAGAGAATATTTACAAACTCCAAAGCTCACTGGTTCTTGAAGCAAATCTAGATGTAGAGAGAGATGAAAACAATGTCAGGGCTTCCAGTGCCTTGGTGTCTTAATCAACAGTGCTTCCCATCTTTCCTGTATCCTTGTATGCCTAAAGTCCTCTCCTGAAGTTCTAACACCAGGTTTAATCCAGAGAACAAGACCACAAATCCATTTACCTGCTTCCTCTCTTCTAACTAAAATGCATTCAGTTTTCACTGAATTCACAAAGATTCACAAAGATTTCACTGATTCACAAAGAATCTCTGCTTTTTCCACATTGGGTTTCCTCATATCCAATTTTAGTTTTAAAATTTTAATATGCACTTAAACATTTTTGTTGGTTGCTTTGCTTTCTAGGCATCCACTAAACAACTCAGTTGAATTTCACAAACACTAACTGGGCCCATGCCATAGGAAAGATGTTGTCTTGGGAAATTAAAGTTTTCAAAGATAGATCATATGTGGTTTTTGTCTCAGGGTCAAGCATTTGCATTAATAAAGTGGCCCCCCCACAAAATGACCTCTGTTCCTCTTAGGAGCAACCTACCTTTTTACTGCCCCTATTTTAGGGCTCATTTCTTTCCACACTACAAGTAAAACAGACACAATGGAGCTAGTGCACACCCATATCAGTGGTTCTCAATGATGGTTTTTTTGCCCTCAGAGACACTTAGTAATGTCTGGAGACATTTTCAGTTGTCACGACTTGGGAGAGCGGGAGAAGTTACTGGCATTACTGGCATCTAGTAGTAGAAACCAGGGAAGTAGCTAATCCTACAAGGCATAGAGTAGTCCCCAACAACAAAGAGTACTGAGGTCTAGAAACCCTGATTTATAGCTATACATCTACAAGTAGGCTTCTAAAACTACAGGTGTCCAATCCAAACTAACCCTTTCTTCTTACTTTATGCCCAGCATCTGACCATTCTATCACCAAACACACAGTCCAAAAAAGTGGGTTTTTTCTTGTTTCTTTGTTTTTAACTTATCTCACTTGTCTGGGTTTCATTTAAATCATTGTCAGAATCAGATTGACTCTATACTTTTAAGTTACTTTTACTATAACAGCCACAAAATCCAAGTTGGAACAGAATATGTACTCAGGAAGATCAATTCTTCTCCTGGGTGCTCGAATTTGACAACAAAGGAATGAGTGGTGATCCAGTACTTTATTAAATGCCTTCAGCAGGGATTTTCACAAAGCCGCCAATTTCATTTTCTGATAATCTTTATTATGAGACATTTTTCTTTCAGTCGAGAAATCTTCCTATTTTTTCTGCTGTCTGTCACTGGCCTTATCTAATCACTCTGCTATGTTTCATCCCTAAAAATAAGCATAAAGAAAATGAATCTCTGTTCCAATTGTTTTCTTTTCCCTAGGTTTCTTTCTTTTTCTATTATCCTTGAAATTCAAAATTATAAATTCTACTTCGCATCATTCCCTGGAATAGACACTTTGCTTTTCAACACTACTGCCAATACTCACTTCCAGGACACAATACCCCTGAGTTATTGAAAAGGTCTTCTATCAAGATTGCATTACCTCTAATCCTTTCCACTCAGATCTCTGGACGCTCTTTCATAAGGGCAGAAACTATCTACATTCCCTGAAAATCCAGCTCTGAATACATGTTTGGCACATAATTTGCACTTAATATTTCTCTACCATAAAAAAGATGATTAAGTCAAACATATGTTCCATTGTTTGTGTGGCATTTATAAGCCATAAGATATGTGGATATACGTTTAAGTTCTCTGAACACCAGTTTCTTCTTTCTAAAATGGAATCTTAAGCTTTCTCACATCCTTTTTCATAGGTTTCATGCCTATGCAGTGCTTTAGGTCAGGAACTATATTCTGTAAATGTTATTCCTTTGATTGTATTTTTCTCATACCATAGTTTTGAATTTTTGTCTAATAATAGCTTTTTGAATATCCATACTTATTTTTACTGAAATGCTGATTTTATCAGAATTTAATGTGACAACTTTGTAATTTAAAGGAAGTTGTCCTATGGTATATACATACATGCTCTAATGTAAAATTTTTCTATGATGAAGAAGCAAAACCCCACAGAAAATAAATTATCCTCCCAGTAGCTTTTGTACACCCTGACGGAGCCACTCTGTAATTTTTTACTAAACATACAGTGTCATCCGTATGTCATTAGGAATAGCATCATGCGTGTTTTCAAACTCAGCAATTATAAGATGATTTTATTTATA